TGGGTGGCCATAGCAACGACAAATGGCAGTGGAACGTGAGCTCACAAATGCATTTAAATCCGTAAACAAATCAGCACGTATATTGTTTTTAATGTGGCATTAGACGCGATATGAAAACATAAAGAGTTAACCAGATAAACTACAAACGGTTACAAGTAACAAAACACAACTAAACACATACTTTGTAAGCAAGAGAAAACAAGGAGGCAGCCATTTCAATCGCACGTACTGTACTTACACTGATCCACATACATATAATGTTCCTGTCAAGCTCTGACAAGGTCCCATACATCAATGTTTTTTTCTGATCCTTCCTTTAACAAACGGCTGATAAATCCTCTGTTGTAAGCGTGTAGATTCCAGAAGCACTTGTCAGAAAAACAGCACAAGGCTGGGCTAATGCTGAGGTATTTTTGCAAAAATAAACCTCAACCACTGACTCTTCAGTTTCATCTTTGGGTAGAGAAAATAACACTAACTGTCCCTCACACTTCCAATAATATCCAGCTGAGCACAGCATCTTCAAGACTTGGTTCAACCGGGAACTGCTGAAAAGCGTTTGTGGGTGGGGCCGTGGTTTCAATTTTTCCGGGTTTGCGTGCACAACAATTGGGCGGGGCTTAAGTTTCATATCAACATCATCCCGAAACGGCTAAAGACTCGTTATCAAGATGATTCATTTGAAGCACCATGAGTCCACTCTTTTATAAATGAATCAATAGTTTTAAATACTGTGCATTCAGATTTAAGCCTTAGCTGGACATTTCACTTCACTTAGAGCTGAGTTACACACATGGAAGGTCATTTATCAATTAGAGATTTATCAATCAGCAAAGCAAAAACAGCATACCTTTTGTTGCACTGAATTCATTCACTCCATGATTTCATTAACTACTTCAACTATATTATGGACTATATTAGTGGACTGATGTAGGCAAGAGTGAATAAGGCTGGTCATACAGCGGATGCGCCACTCAGTGCCACGACACGGCACGCACATAGCATTTGGAAGTATCGCACACCAGATGCGCACATTCGGATTATATTTAAAATTAAACTATTCAGATGGCGGCGACGCGTTGGCACAAGAAGGTAGTGCTCACAGCAAGAAGGTCACTAGTTCGAGCCCCGGCTGGGTCAGTTGGTGTTTCTGTGTGGAGTTTGCATGTTCTTCCCTCGTTTGCGTGGGTTTCCTCCAGGTGCTCCAGTTTCCCCCATAGTCCAAAAACATGTGGCGACCCTGAATTAATAAAGGGACGAAAAGAAAATTAATGAATATTTAGATGCCGCTCTGTTGCGCGGCAGAAATATGAACAGTGTCCTGAAGGGGCTTGCACACCGCATGCGCCACTTGGTGACGCGATGCGCCACGCAGCGCCATGCATTTTAGAATTCCAAACATAGATTTCTATCAGGGTACGCACACCGGTGCCACTTGCGGCGCCAGTGTGCATATTTTATAGAAATCCCTGTTTAAAATTCTAAAATGCAAGCACTGCATGGCGCGCCGCTGAGTGGTGCATCTGGTGTGCAAGTCCCTTCAGGTTCATATCTTAGAACTATAAGGTTCTAGCTGACATTTTTGTCAATATCTAGTTATTGACATATTTGTAATAAATGACAACTTATTTACATTATGGGAGGTTTTTTTTTAAGTTGTTTACTTTTTAAAACTTTTTATTTAATAAACAAATGTTACACACATACTGTTTGCTATGGAATGCAAAAACTTTTAAGCACAATATCTCAAAATTATTCAGAACGCAGATAGAACTCCAAGATCTCCAAGGTGATAATATTTCTGCTGCACCACAAAGCGGCATCAGAATAGTTTCATTTTAAATAACATGTGAATGTGCGCATCTGGTGTGCGATAGTTTCAACTGTCATGTGCATGCCATTTCGTGGCGCTGAGTGGCGCATCAGGTGTGCGACCCCCTTAAGGGAATAGGGGAGGTTTCTGAATACAGTCTTGACAACTGGCCACTGTGTACTGGAGAAAACATTTATTTTATAATGAGTTTGTTCACCCATTTGCATTTGTTTCATTTTAATGAAAGCGTAGATTTTTGTGATTTTTTTTCATGTACAATAAAAAGGATCATTAATACAAAATTAGGTTTTTAGATTTGTTTTTAGATATTTAATTAGAGAAAAGTCACTAGCCACCGCCTTTGAGCTGTTAACCCAATATTTCAGTGGCAAACATGAGCTGTGTGGAACAATGTAGGGTTACTAGATCTTACTTTTAGGTGCTTGGCAACTGAGTCAGTTGTGTGACATATTTACATGCTTTGACTGCCATGGAAACAGGTTTTTCTTTTGTGGGACAGGTTAGAATAAACAACTGATAAGAATCAAAACAAGAAATTGGTTTAAGAGTTTTTAAGGTTTTGAGTGACATTATACACAACTCTTTTTTTTTTAAATCTCTAAGAGTTGATTTTGTAAATAGGACAAAGACAAAATAAATTGTCAAACCATATGCAATCCAAGCCCTTTTATATACAAGCCAAATAGATGCTGTGTGATTTAATTTTCTATTTTAAAAAAGAAGTAATGATTTTTTTTTTCAAAATGAAAAGAAATTAAATAACAGAATAAGCTCACTTAAGAATAAGATAAATTATAAATAAAGATAAATAAAATATACATAAAGTACAGTTGATGTCAAAACTATTAGCCCCTTCTGTGAAATTTTTATTCATTTCAAAAAGTTTTTTTATTTTCCAAGCGCTGTTTTACAGAGAGAATATGTGTGTATATGTGTGTATGGATGTATGATAAATTACTTTTGTCTTTGCCGGGATAACAGTACACACTATTTTACTTATTTAGAAGATGGTATTCAGATACCAATTTTATTTCAGCTAAATGAAATAAGATTTTCCTCAATATATATAATAGGAAATATGGTGAAAATGTAGGGCTAATTTTTTTGCCTTTAACTGTACAGCTGAACTTGTCATGGTAAACATTGTCTTCTATATATAGACTTTGATTAATGCCAGATGTCTTCAACGGCTGTAACCATGCTGTGAACAAACTCAAGAGGAATACTGCAGGATGTGTAAGAATTGCTCAGTCTAGAAAATAATGATATAGGAAATAATAATAATAATAATAATAATAATAATAATAATAATAAAGTGTATGAGTTAAACTGGATTGATAATCAAGCAAGCAAGCAAGCAGGCAAGCAATATTTAGTGTTAGGGATGTAAAATAAGGTACATACTTTTTAATCAACAAACGGTTTAAAACTGTTTAGATTTTGTCCCTTGACTAAGAAGAATGATATTTTTAAAGCTAAATTTAGCAATTTATTCATAATAACATAGTCTGATAACAATTTAATAAGTGATTTCTATAGAATTATATTGATATAAGTGTGAAAGTATCTGCATTTAAAAGCGAATTAGATAATAAATGCATTTACGCAACAATAAAGCGGCTAAAATTTCAGATTCAAGTTAGACAAATTCTGATCACAGAGGTGGTCGACAAAATGGTATTCTGAAAATGCCAGCAGGTGGCAGCAAGTGATTGCATTAGCTACTAAACGAGTCGTTTACAAAACCGATTCATTTGATTCGTTCAGATTGCTACTGAATGCATTAAATCCAGCCGTTTCGCGAATGACTCTATATTACTGATATACAGCTTATTTAATTTTTGACAAATGTCCAAAAATACAGCTAAAACAATTTATTTTATTTAAAAATAAAATTGTTACATGATGGAGCTTGACTTTATCCTGTAAGGAGTGTTTTGATTGGTGGATTAAAAAACCCACTGCATAAGCTAAACAGAATATCTTCCAAAAAAAGATGTGTACGAATCGTGTCCTGCCAGGAAGATCTCGAAAATACCCGGCACAAATTCAAAGGACTCCATGATCGTGTGAGTATTTTTAAATGCACGTTCAGTGGTTCATAAATACATCTAACATAACTGATAAATGCATGAGGAAAGTCATCAAAGAACTTCAAGCATAATTGTGTAAACATTTTAAATGTAGCTATTTATAAAATATATAGGCCTATGTGTACGCATTTGGGAATATTTTTGCTTTTGAATTCATGAATTATATTTTGAGTTTATGAATTGGAGTTGTGAATGTAGGTTATGTATTTTAAATTTACAAATTGTACTGTGTATTTATGAAAGCAAATGGATTATTATTGAGGCTGATCTGGCTCCATAAACATCCCTCGAAATTCATTTTTAAGATAAGGAAAGATAATATAAGATCGTGAAATGTATCTGGCTATATAACCAGCTAAACCAGCTTTATGGTTTAGGCATTTCTATAGTAAAACAAGTTTTTATTGTGAAATCACTTTTCACTATGCACTTGCAGGTTTACCTGTGCACTCAACCACCTAGTCTGAGTTTTTCTAAGGGTATTGTTATTCAACCTTGGTCTCTGAACTAGCATGTAATTAAACGTGTGTCAGAGCTAGCCTAAACCACTGCATCAGGTTTCCAACATTCCACACCTTATGTTTGCGGCAAAACGAAAATATTCAAAAATTTAAAGTGCACACACTACTTGCACTATTTATACTTGTATATAAAATGTAACGATATATGGAAAAATGCTATAAAATGATGTCAATAACTTCATCTCATTTCAGTAACTATATAAAAACTATAATAAAAGTAAAAAATTATCCATATCAGGGTTCGTATTATTTGCATGGCAATAAATAGCATATCTGATGTTTAAAATGTGAAACAATGACATTTAATATTTTTAATTACTTTATTTCCTTAAATTTCAACACGCAATATACCTTAATGATTTTTAAAAATTATTGCAAAGTTAGTAGACAAAAAAAACAGCCTTTGTTGATGATGCACCTTTGGCAAAAATCACATGATGCCATTCTTTCTTTCTTTCTTTCTTTCTTTCTTTCTTTCTTTCTTTCTTTCTTTCTTTCTTTCTTTCTTTCTTTCTTTCTGTCTTTCTTTCTTTCTTTCTTTCTTAATGTTTTGGTTTAGCCTAACTAATGCTTCTTTCCATAAAAAAACTGTAGACATTGAATGTAATTTGTTACAAATTATTTTCGAGAAAAAAAAAAATCTGCTGCAGTTTAGATATGCCGCTTTTAGGGCTGATCTGTATGGTCATAAAACAAATAACAAACAAAGTCGTTGTTTGTCAGGGTGGAGCGATGAGGGGAAGTGTCCATTCTGGCATTGACTCTGGTCTGGCTCGAAGAGCTGCTCTGTCCAGTGTAAATGCAAGCTGAGCTCAGCTCATTCTGCGCAGTCAGACTGAAGCTCAGTCGCTCACCGCTGTCATGTACTGGAAACTACACTTGGACTCCAGCCATATCTAGGGGAATAATGCGTGATGAAGTAGCTTACTTTTGCAGGTATTGTCGGCGGATAGTTAACGCTTATGAGCGACGTATGTCATAGTATTGCGCGAATTTTGCCTAAATCATTGCGTCGTGGAATTACTTTTTAATCATTACGATGACCTGAACAGCTGTTCCATCAACTCAGCATTTCTGCTTTATTTTAAACACCGAGTGCCTTATCCACACGGAACCAACCGGTTTTTTCCGACAAATTTTTACCAAAAATTTGCTTGAGTACACTTGCATAATTGGTACTTTCCAATCAAAATCTCTGGACTACTTGCCATACACGACAATATTATAGCCTGCGTATTTAAAGGTAATGTTACTATTTCATCTTTTCTTTTTCCTTAAGTTTTTATTTCGGAATTATGATCAGCAACATGAAAGATTCAGATTTGTTTGGTCAAGTCAGATTAAATAATACATCGTGGGATATAAATGTTCCTAGCACATTGAAAGGAAGTGTGTTGAATAGATTTTGCTTTTAAATGTTAATCCCGCATAAAGTCTGTTTTGATTAAATATAGACGGATGTGCGAGATATAGGCTTAAGATATGCTTGTAAAGTCTTCTTGAATATGCCTGTGTATGAGAGTGATAATTATATACGAACCCAAATTTAACTTGCATTATACACTTATACGTATTCTTCACATGTCACCTTGACATACAGTTATGAGCATTTAAGGCATTTGTTTGTAAGTTTGCCTGTAACACCAACAAATTAGTTTGCTGGTTGCTCTTTATTTTTATTACTACATATTAGAGGCATTAATACAGAGACCTAAAATTGTAATGAAAAATAACCCATTACATGTGCAATGAAGAATATCAACAATAAGCTTGAAGTGGTCATTATTTTATTGTAATTCTTTTATTTTCATCTGTACTTTTCCTATATAAATTGTTTACTTGCTTCACTTGTTTATTGCTGAAATGTCAAAACCAGATTTACTGCATACTTTCATCTCATTGGTGTGGTTATTCCTAGTCTATTTGTGTTTGAACATGTTCTATTTATTATTAAATGCTAATTTATTTTGATGATATATATATATATATATATATATATATATATATATATATATATATATATATATATATATATATATATATATATATATATATATATATATATATATATATATATATATATATATATATATATAAAGTTAAATCTAATATCCTAAAATTAATTAACAGGATATCTTTAAAGCCACGGGGTCTTTAAAAGTATTAAAAGTTGATAAATCAATGTAGAGAAATTTAAGGCCCTTAAAAAGTTTTATAAAGCATTAAATGCTATTTTGCAAGGTATTAATTTTGATATCATTTTTGATTTTGCAATGCATGGTTGTGTGCTAAAGTTTGCCTGAATTAAATCTGAGAATATCAGGATGCTGTGTAGTTTATTAAATTAACTTCTCCTACTAGATTTGACATCACGCTGCTTTGTTTACTGTAGTAATCATGGCAACACCATTATTTCTGCAGTTCAATAGGCACCAACCTGCTGAATTTATTTCATAGATTTGTATTCAGTATATGAATAATGCTTTAGTTTTGGATTAGTTTCTTACATTAATATTTAGTAAATATACTGTAAGTTAAAACTCGCCAGTGTTTCCAGTTGAAACCTAAAGTGGTTATAAGGTCTTAAAATGTTTGGAAAGAGTCTTAAAAAGGTTTAAAAAGGTATTGAATTTCACTCACTGATTCCTGTAAATACTGTGATTAAACAATTACAGAATTTTTTTTTAAAATTCCATTGCTTTCCATTGAGTATTTTGAGTTGTTTTGATATATTTATTTGCTTTACTCCACAGAAGATCAAGAACAGATGGAAAAAAAGGGCAAATTCAAAGTGCTTCTTGTATTAACATTTATGGCCATTATTATTTTCACATTGTTTTTGGACCATAAGGATAATCATAAACATAACACACAAGCTACTCCTCTAACAAGAGCTCCTGTGACAAATTATACAATCAAAATCCAAGAGGATTTATATTCAATAACGCCCATCAAAGACTCTGAGCATTTCATGGTGTCAGCGTTTATTGACCACAGACTGGACGGAGCCATTCGAGTCATCAGCATAATCAAGAGAAAAAATCTGCAGCCCCTTTATTGTGTTTACTGTACCACCAAACATGACTGCAAAACTGTTGAGACTGAGGTCCAGATACACACCGACCATTTTTCCTTTCCATATGGTGCTTCAGATGTGATTTGTAAAGGCAAGAACATGCAAAGGGCAACCAGTGTCGCCATAACAACTAGCAAGAAAGATTCAGCTGACCTCAGAACAGATTATCTGGAAATCAAAAATAAGCTGGTAACAGACAATTTCAAGTATAACTTCACTGTTTGCATCTCCAACCTCTTTGGAAGCTACAACAATGTACTGCAGTTTGCTCAAACTATGGAGATGTACAAACTTCTGGGTGTACAGCATGTGGTCATCTATAATACCAGCTGTGGTGCAGACTTGAAGAAGCTTCTAAAACATTATGAATCAGAAGGGTTACTGGAGATTGTTTCGTGGCCTATCGACAAGTTTATGAATCCCTCCCCAGGCTGGAATATCAAAAAACACAAAGGCGATCTTCATTATTATGGTCAGTTAGTAACACTCAACGAGTGCATCTACAGGCACATGTATCAATCCAGATATGTTCTTCTGAATGACATCGATGAGATCATCATGCCATACAAATACTCAAATTTACAGTCTCTTATGGAGGACCTCCAGTCTGCTGATCCCAGCAAAGGAGTGTTCCTCATAGAGAACCACATATTCCCCAAAACACAGTTTGAGGACAGCGGGAAGTTCAAGCGAAAAGAATGGAAAAATATTTCTGGAATCAATATCATGGAGCACATTTACAGAGAACCTGAACGTAAGAATGTTTACAATCCCACAAAAATGATTGTCAATCCAAGGAAGGTGGAGCAGACATCAGTGCATTCCTCCTTGAAGAACTTTGGAGGGAGTTACCATGTTCCATTTAATGTATGTAGGATTGTGCATGTGAGAGTCCCGCTGCAAGGGAGTCTGACCAAAGAGCAACTCTTTGTAGACAAAAGAGTCTGGGACTTTGAAAACGATCTGATACCGAATGTTGACAGAACTTTGATACTTTCTGGTCTCCTCAAGGATTCCAGTTGAGATGTTTGCATCAGGGATTTGTAGAAAGAAATGCCATCAAAATGAACAAGAAACACTACAAATTCAAGGCAAGGGGAAAATGTCCCAGCACAATCAACTAAACAATTATGCTGCAACAATTAATGTGAAAAAAATAAATGAAAAATGAAGGATGGCCAGTTGGAGGGCTAAAGATTAGTTAACTCTGAATTCTGCATTCTTACAAGTTCTCTCATCATAAAAATGTAATGCAGATATACTGTAAATATAATAGTGTGTAAACATGCTGCATAAATTGTGTTTGAATATCATGCACTGATATGTTTTGTCTTTGTAGACAAAATGTGGCAAGCCTTTTCCCAAACACATTGTTTTGTATTATTATTTTTTGTTCAAGTATGTATTCTTATAATTAATATTAATGATCCTCATGAAATATCAATCAATAATCAACATTATTTGATAATTTAAAAATGATCTTCAAATGTAATATATACACATTTATAAAAATAACTTACATAAAAACAGATGATCATTAAACAAGAATCACATGTTAGAAACATTCTTTTGGAACATTTTTATGAGAATTACTTTTTTTTTTTCTTGAAAATGTTTCAAAATCATGTTTTATGTGTGTTTTACGTGAGGCTTTTGCATGTTATGCTCATGTGAACAGAGCTTGAAGTAGGAAGATTTCACTTGTGGTGGGTAAGACACCCACTCCAACTAGTCACTTTTTTGGGGTTGAATGTAATAATTTAACTGAAGTTTCTTAAAAGATGGGGTAAATTATAAACTAACTGCAACATGATACTACGAAACTATCACTCCCACAGATATGTAGCCCTGATTAAGTAGTACTAATATGCCCTGCTGGCTATGAGGAAATATTTATACGAAGCTCGATAAACGCTCAAAAATATGTAGTAAAGAAAGAAATGGGACATTTTACTTTCAGTTCAGCTATTCTCATGCAACAGCACATTAGCAAACTAAATTGTTTAAAGCAATGTATTTATTATTATTATTATTATTTTTTTTTTTTTGCTGCGACCATATGTTGACTATACATTGGCAAAACATTTTCATTAATGTTTGCATATTTGTGCTGGGTTAGTTTAAGCATTATGTTAAAGTGACAAAGCATGGGTATTTATAGTACTTAACAATTGGGCAAAATATTGTAAAATTCAAATGTTTATTTGGATTTTAGCAATCATATTTTTGTAAGATCTGCTTACTGTAAGGTCCATTAGCAGTTCTGTCTATAAACATAGATTATTTTTTTCTACAAGTCATGTTCATATCAAAATGTACTCATTTTTATTGAGATTGGATGGTCAAAATGCCAATTCATGGGTTCCTCTTACAAACATGGCATTCTTGTAAACAAAATTTGTTTAAAGTCAACTTCCCTATAAATAACAGCTGTAACCTTGTGTGATAAAAAAAAAAAAAAAAAAAAAAAACTTACAACCGTGAAATAAAAATGTTGCTTTTGAGACAAATGTTAATCTAAATAATGGTAACAGATATTTAGGTATTCTTGCATAAAATGTGATTTATTTTTTTTTTTGATATTGTGTTGGGCCATGTTGTGAAAGATTTGTTTGTAATGATTGGGACAATATATGGAAAAATGATAAGTACGCATGTGTTATATGTCTTTTGGATACGGTAAAATAAAACATGTTGAAATTCTCAATAGATTTTTTTCAGATGATTACAGTGCCAAATCATTTAGAGCAGGGGTGTCAAACTCAATTCCTGGAGGGCCGAAGCCCTGTACAGTTTAGTTCAAACCCTGCTCCAACACACTTACCTGTAGGTTTCAAACAAGCCTGAAGGACTCAAATAGTTTGATCAGGTGTGTTTAATTAGTATTGGAACTAAATTGTGCAGAGCAGCGGCCCTTTTGGAACTTAGTTTGACACCTGTGATTTAGAGAGAGCGATAATGTTAGTCTTTCTATGTGCTATTATAGTTTGTGAAGATTTATGTCTATATTGTTAGATAGAAACATTTTTTAAAGGCTATGACATAACCCAGTTAGGTGGGAAAAAACAAGATAATTATATTCATTTTACCTTTAGGCAGAGCAGGCATGACTGAATCATAGAGGAACCTGCTTTGTACAAATGAATCACAGAGGTTTCTGCTCTTTTTAACATTAAAATGTTTTGTTGAGCAAAAATGAACCTAATGTTACAGACGTGTTCAAGAAATTATTTAAACAGTTTCTATTTAAAGGAAAACTCCACTTTAAACAAACACAAAAGAAGTCTCCTAGAGTTAAGCAGTTGACCTGAACCATTTTTGAATTTCATTTTGAATTTTAAACTGATTTCCTGTTCTGGTGGGTTACTTTTAGCTTAGCTTAGCATAATTAATTGATTCGATTTAGACCATTAGCATTTTGTAAAAAAAAAAAAAAATGTTAAAGAGTTCGAAAGTCTTTCTATTTAAATCTCAAATACTCCAATAGAATCTGGATGTAGCCTTGTAGCTGAGACTGCATATCCAACATGATCTCACAGCAATTCTTAACTTTTTGATTTTGTGGTTAATTCATATGAATTCGTACAATCATATTTGTACAATTTAGTACGATTTTCTTGTCTCCCCAATGATGGTTAAAACTGAATAATGGAATAAACTGAACTGAACTGAACTTAAAGGGTCACGAAACACCAAAACACATTTTTTGAGCTGTTGACAGTCGTATATGTCCCACACTGCTAAAAACCCTATTAGGACACCTATATTTCACTAAAAAGTGTAAATTGGTTGTTTTTGCTTTATTTCAAGCAAATTTGTACTTCCTGTTTGAAACGAATTTTTGAAGCTGCGTCACGGCCAGGACATAATAGCGTGTATTCCAGCGTGCAGACTGGGCGTCTGTGCCTGAGTGAGCCTTATTACGTCTTACAGTGTGATGCATTAATGCATGAGTAAGGCTTGGGTCAAACCAATCAGCGCGCTCTATTGTGCAACTTCATTAATATTCATTATTGTCACCGTGTTTACACCACAAAGACGCCACGTTGTGTTGGCAAAACAAGCGTGAAGTGTTGCTTTTATAGTTTGCTGCTGTTAAGTTTCGTTTTCATTTTCTCTCTGTGAGAGCTTATCTGGATCAGGTGTGGATTAACAGTGTACGCGATGCGCGACAACAATAACTTACGTGTCTAAGGAGGATTATTGTTTACCTGAGAGCTGTTCTCATCTGCAAACGCTGAAATCTGGATTTTCTTGTAGTATTCTCTTCATAAAGACGCGGCTCTAGTTGCTGGTGATTGTTCTGTCTCTACAGATTTGGTAAGTGAGCGACCAGTGCTCTTTGTTTATTCAGTTTGTTCGTATCGAATTAAGTTAACTATTGCACTGAGTGCAGAAATGTTAGCACCGCATTTTGTGACCGGAATAACACACGCGGCTTTCTGACACTACCTGCCGTGTGCATCTAAGTTTCCGGGAAATGCAGAGTTTTTTTTTCTCTCATTCGCCGTGCGTTATCAAACATCGCATGAAAAATACACGCTTGCAGCAGTTCCTCGAATCAAATATCTTTGTCGCGAGAGGCATGAATGAATTCCCTGAATGAAAGAGCCAAACTGCAGTTAAAGTCCAACATTTAATAATTTGGCAAATAATTCGACTACAGATGTCCATGTAGGTTAAACACCATCACTTTCTCCTGTCGGTGTGGGTGTGTATTTTGACTCTGAAACTCGTTCCTCCGACACTCCCCCCTAAACAGAGCTGGACACGCCCACTTTTCTGACTTTTTCCAAAGTAGAGGTGTGAAAACACCCTGTTGAAACGAGGGGGTTTCATGGCCCTTTAAACACTAAAAACTGAACTACACTGTTCCAGTTACTATGACCAGTTATGTGAAGCTGCTTTGACACAATCTACATTGTAAAAGCGCTATACAAATAAAGCTGAATTGAATTGAAGCTTGGACAGAGTGCACTGATGAGGAGTGAGAGGTCCTTACTGTAGCCCCACCTGTAATGCTCAGGCCTGCCCATGTGCTAACTTGCGGGGAGCAACAGGGGTGGTGCTCCCTAATGCTAGAGTATGCCATGACCTCACCTGCGCAACAGTCACACACTTGCAGTGAGGGCAAGAACTGTCCGCGAGCACGGCCACAACATGCTGGACCCCCAGACATGTGATGCAATACTCGTGCCTGTCATCCTGGGCTAAGAAACCACTGCATAGAAATGCATGGCCAGAACGACATCTTTAAAAAGATGCGCTGATCAGCCGTGTTGCTCTCTTAGGGTATCTGCTCTTATAGAGAAAACTGCTCTTTTAAACACCAATGAAATGCCCGGGGGATGGGAAAACAGACCAGTTTGACCTGCACTGTAAAGAAAACTTGAAATCAGGATCGCAGATAGGAGCTCTTCAGTCTCAGTGAGAGGTTTGAAGCAAAGAATCTGATGCTCGCCCCGCGGACGCCAACTGATATACTTCACTAATGACTAATCACTAGCACCTGCAAAGCCGAGCTCTACCTTCACTTTTGGCATTCATTGGCCCTTTCTCTTTAGAGTGATTGGTCATCTAGCGATCTCCCGTTGTCTGTTACCAGATGCACGTTAAAGTGCCCTTTCTCATTATTAACACACCATTGATTATTGCTTCAATAAAACTACTAAATTGCTGCTGATCCATAGTTAGTTAGATAATAGGTTTAGGTACTGATTAGAATCAGGCATGTAGACTAAGTTCATGCACTGTGTCTGTGTCACAGCCAGGCCAGGTTCTCCGCACTCACAGTCACAAATACTAATCACCAGCGCACTTGCACATCATCTCACACTCATCGCTCCACCCCATAAATACCTGCATGCTCCCTTACTCGGCGTCCGGCCTAATCACATCGAGAAGGATGAACCTAGAGTCAGTCTGTCCCTGTTATTCCAAGTTATACATACCATGTCTTCTCCAAATGGTCCCAGAGTGTCTTTGTGTCTCTTCCTAGTGTGATTCCCTCCTGGTTGTGTGTCTCCCAATCCTCTCTGTATTCAACATCATCACCAGTCTTCTGTTCATTCCATCACTGCTCCATGACTCACCATCTGCAAGAGAAGGACTTTACCTGCTTGTCATATATACTGTTTACATAATTTTGCAATAAACTGTTTACTTGTACTCACTCGGTTCTGATCTCAGTCTTCCTTTTGTAAGAAGGATAAGTTACTTCATAATTAATAATTAATTATTACTAATTGCATCATAAAATTGCATTGTTCATTCTGCAATTGGACTGCTTAATTGCTGCTTTTACGGGGTTGGGTCACTGGGGCAGCAGTCTTAGGAGAGAACCCCAGACTTCCCTTTCCCCAGACACTTCCTGCAGCTCCTCCAGAGGTACCCCGAGGCGTTCCCAGGTGAGAGACTTAGGCTCAATCCCAATTCTACCCCTTAGCCACTCCCCTTACCCCTTATTTTGCGTGTTCCTGTGATGGTGTATGGGTGTCCCAATTCTCTTTAGCTTGAAGGTGTAGGGCTAAGGGGAAGGGGTAAATAGTCCTTTGAATGACGATTTTTCAGGGCCTCACTCGAAACAAAGGAGTAAGAACATTTCCCAGGATACACAAGCCATAACAGCAGGATTGCAGCACCCGAAAGTAAGGAGATCCACAAATTTGTATTTTTTGTCATTATTATAAATTTTTACAACAAACAACCGCATGTTTTATTATACTGTATCTATAACTTTGAGATTGTGTGATTGTCTTGCTTTAAAATTTTTTTTAAAAAATTCAAATTCCGCTAAATTTCAAAAATAGAATTGGGATTGGGCCATAGTCCCTCCAGCGTATCCTGGGTCTTCCCCGAGGCCTCCTCTTGGTGGGACATGCCTGAAACAACTCCCTAGGTAGACGTCCAGAAGGCATCTAAAACAGATGCCCGAGGCACCTCAGCTGATTTCTCTCAATGTGGAGGAGCAGTGGCTCTACTCCGAGCTCCCCTCAGGTTTTATAGGAGACTGATTTCAGGTGCTTGTATTTGACATCTTGTCCTTTCGGTCATGACCAAAAGCTCAAGGAACATAGATTGACCGGTAAATGGAAAGCCTTGTCTTTCGGATCAGCTCCTTCTTTACCACAATGGACCAGTACATCGACCGCATTACTGCTGCCACTGCACCAACCCGCCTGTCAATCTCAAGTTCCATCCTTCCCTAACTTGTGAACAAAACCCCAAGATATTTGAACTCCTCCAACTGGGGTAAGGACTTTCCTCTAACCTAAAAGTGGCAAACCACCTTTTTCTGGTGGAGCACCAAGGCCTCGGACTTGGTGGTGCTGATTCTCATCCCAGCCACGTCACACTCTGCAGCAAACCTCCCCAGTGCATGCTGATGGTCCATGTTTGATGAAGCCAACCAAACAACATTGTCTGCGTATAACAGAGATGAAATCCAGTGGTAACCGAACGAGACCCCCTCCAACCCAAGACTGCACCTTAAAATGATGTACATAAAAATTATGAACAGAATTGGTGACAAGGGAGAGCCCTGCCGGAGTCCAACATGCACTGGAAACAAGTCTGACTCCTACTCTGTTCATACAGCGATGACACGACCCTTAACAGAACACTTCTGACCCCATACTCCCAGAGCACCCTCCACAGAATGCCAAAAGGGACACAGTCGAATGCCTTTTCCAAATCTATTAAACAAAT